GAGACTGGGGAGGATGATGATGCGGAGGAGGAGGAGGAGGAGGAGAGGAGGATAGGAGGAGGAGGAGGAGGAGGAGGAGGAGGAGGATGAGGAGGAAGGAGGAGAGGAGAGGGGGGATGAGGAAGAGGAGGAGAAGGAGCAGGAGGAGGAGAGATAGGACGAGGATGAGGGAGGAGGACTATGATGATGATGAGGACGATGATGATGATGATGATGGATGATGATGATGTGATGATGATGATGATGATGATGATTGATGATGATGATGATGATGATGATGATGATGCTGATGCTGATGCTGATGCTGATGCGATGATGATGAGGAGAGGATATGAGGAGGAGGCATGAGGAGGATGAGGAGGATGAGGAGGAGAGGATGAGGATGAGGATTGTGGATGAGGATTGTGATGATGAAGGAGGAGGAGGAGAGGAGGAGGAGGAGGAGGAGGAGGAGGAGGAGGAGGAGCGAGGAGGAGGAGGAGGAGGAGAGAGGAGGAGGAGGAGTAGGAGGAGGAGGAGGGGGAGGAGGGAGGAGGAGGAAGAAGAGGAGGAGAGGAGGAGGAGGAGAGGAAGAGGAGGCGGCGAAGGCGTAGGCGGAGGCGGATGCGGAGGCGAGGGTGGAGGTGGGGGCGGAGGCGGATGCGGAGGAGGGTGAGGCGGAGACTGAGGAGGAGGAGGAGGAGGAGGAGGAAGAGGAGGAGAAGGATGAGAAGGAGAAGGAGGATGAGGATGAGGAGGAGGGATGAGGAGGCGAAGGAGGAGGCGGAGGCGGAGGAGGAGGAGGAGGAGACGGAGGAGGAGGAGGAGGATGCAGAGGCGGAGGCGGAGGAGGAGTCGGAGGCGGAGGCGGAAGCGGATGATGATGATGGTGCTGATGATATTGATGATGTGATGATGATGCTGATGATGCTGATGCTGTTGAGGATGCTGATGTCGATGATGCTGATGCTGCTGATGATGATGCTGATGATGATGATGCTGATGCTGATGATGATGCTGATGATGATGACGATACTGCTGATGATGATGTTGACGATGATGATGAAGCTGATGATGATGATGATGATGATGATGCTGACGCTGCTGATGCTGATGACGATGATGCTGCTGATGATGATGCTGTCGACGATGAGGTTGATGGCGCTGATCATGATGCTGATGCTGCTGCTGATGCTGCTGCTGCTGATGATGATGCTGCTGACGACGATGATGATGATGATGATGATGATGACGCTTATGCTGATGCTGATGATGCTGATGATGCTGATGATGATGCTGGTGGTGTTGATGATTATGATGATGATGCTGATGATCCTGATGATGATGCTGATGATGACGATGACGATGATGTTGATGATGATGATGCTGATGCTGATTTGCTGATGATGATGATGCTGATGATGATGCTGATGATGATGTGGATGATGATGATGATGATGATGATGACGATGATGCTGATGCTGATGATGATGATGATGACGATGACGATAATGATGATGATGATGCTGCTGATGATGCTTATGATGCTGATGATGCTGCTGCTGCTGATGATGATGATGATGCGGATGATGATGATGATGATGATGATGATGATGATGATGATGATGATGATGATGATGATGATGATGATGCTGATGATGATGATGATGATGATGATGCTGATGATGATGATGATGATGATGATGATGATGATGATGATGATGATGATGACGATGATGATGATGATGATGCTGATGATGATGATGATGCTGATGACGATTATGATGACGATGTTGATGCTGATGATGATGCTGATGATGATGCTGCTGATGATGCTGATGATGCTGCTGCTGATGATGATGATGATGATGATGATGATGATGATGATGATGATGATGATGATGATGATGATGATGATGATGATGATGATGATGATGATGATGATGATGATGCTGATGCTATGCTGATGCTGAGGAGGAGGAGGAGGAGGAGGGAGGAGGGAGGAGGAGGAGGAGGAGGAGGAGGGAGGAGCAGGAGGAGGAGGACGAGGAGGATGAGGAGGATGAGGAGGACGCGGAGGAGGAGGAGGAAGAGGAGGAGGAGGAGGATGAGGAGGAGGAGGATGAGGACTAGGAGGACTAGGATGGAGGGGAGGCGGGAGGCGGGAGGCGGAGGAGGAGGTGGGAGGAGGAGGAGTGGGGAGTGAGGATGGGGGAGGGGGGATGGCGGAGGGAGGAGGAAAGAGGAAGGACGAAGGAGGCAGGTGGAAGGAAGATGGAGGAATGTGGAAGGAGGAAGGATGACGGAGGAAGGAAAAGAAATGGAAGGATGAAGGAGGAAGGAGGAAGGGTTAATGAGGAAGGCGGTGGGAGGAATGAGGAAGTAGGAAGGAGGAATGATGAAGGAGGACAGAGGAAGGAGGAAGAGGAGGAACGAGGAAGGAGGAATGAGGAATGCGGAAGGAGCAGGGGGGAACTATGAAGGATGATGATGAATGGTGAAGGAGGAAGGGGGAAGGCGGAAAGAGGAAGGAGGACCGAGGAAGGAGGAACGAGGAATGAGGAGGAAGAGGAGGAGGAGGAGGAGGAGGAGGAGGAGGATGAGGAGGAGGAGGAGGACGACCAGGAGGAGGAGGAGGAGGCGGAGGCGGAGGCGGAGGCGGAGGCGAAGGAGGAGGGGGAGGAGGATAATGAGGAGGAGGATGAGGAGGAGGAGGAGGAGCAGGAGGAAGGGGAGGAGCAGGAGGAGGGGGAGGAGGAGAAGGGGGGTGAAGGTGGAAGAAGGCGGCGATGACGACGGCGACAGGAGTTAACCACAAAGGCCTTCGTGGATCTTTCGCTTAGGGTGCATCTTGGAGGCTTTATGGAGCCATCTTGGAGCTCTCTTGGGGCGATTTCTGAACTTTCGGGGCCTTCTCGGGGATCTCTTGAGGCCCTCTTGGGAGCCTTGGGTCCATCCTGAAGGCCATCGGTCAAAACGGAGGGGATTCTGGATCATTTACCCACCCACCATCTTGAGCCCGAAAGAAACATCGCCTCAGAGGACCGTTTTGGGACGCGCTTTGGGACTTTCTTGACGCTCTTCGAGGCTTTCTTCGAATCCCTCTTGGCCTCTCTGTGGGCTCTTGGACGGTATTGGGGCCATCTTGCGGCCTTCTAAGCTTGTCACGAGAAAATGCGAGCAGCATAGACCATACAGCATCCTTGTTTTGACGGAGTTTGGGTCTCTTGGGGGCATCGTTGGGAGGTTGCGAAACCCGTTGGAGTCGTTTCGGAGGCATCTGATGGCCTCTTGGAGGCATTCTGGACGCCATGTTGGTTCAAGTTGGCCAATATCGCACCATCTCGGATGCCATTCGGGGTAAGTATCTATGGCCGTCTGGGAGAGGCCTTGGGAGCAGGTGAGCAAGTGTGCCCTCGCCCCCCTCGCTGGAGGACCGCTCCCCAAACCCAGAAGCGAGGCACCACGCTCCCACCGGGCATGTCACAGGCTGTCTTGATCTCTCCCGCCCGCCTTCCAATCGTATCAGTATCATTACGTCGGGCCTGTCCCTCTAGAAGGGGAAATTCAAGAATAGTAAAGAAATAGTCGGGGGACGACATTTGCAGTATGTTTGGCATTTTTTGGTACTTTTTGATTATATGTATATGTATACGTGTATATATATATATATATATATATAGATATTTATGCATTGTCCAAAGTCCGCCTGCCGGGGGGGCACGCCCGACCTAAAAGTAGCACCCGAGACTCAGCAGAGGCGGTGGTCGCCATCGGACCGACAGCCACTGGGAGCCAAAACAAACGTAAAACAAAAACATACGCCGGGTGCGCGCCGTTCGCGAGGTACGCCACGCTCGCCAGGTGCCCCAGGTGTCCAAGCGTGTTGGGCGCGCCAGGTGCGCCAGGTGCGCCACGTGATTCACGTGCCCCAGCTGGGCCACATGCTCGAAGTCGGGCCTTTCCCTCTACAGGAGGAATATACAAAAAATAGTCAGGGGACGATTTTCGATTATGTTTGACTATTTGTGGGCATTTTTTTAGTTTTTTTTTGTTTTCGCCTACAATCCGCCTGTAGGAGGACACGCCCGACCTAACACATGCTCTACTCGCCCCATGTGCGCCGGATGCGACGAGCGCTGGGTGCGACAGGTGCGCCAGTGCATGTCACAGCCCGCATCGGGCAATGTGTCGACACCGTACCATCCCTGCCCTACAAACGCCATTGCAAATTGGCGGTGGGATGGTCTGCATAGTGCAAGGTGCGTGCGCCTACCATCAGTCTGCAGTGGCTTCTGATTGGGACACGGTGGGGGCGTTCCTTAAGGAATGTGCCCAGAAGGCCTTCAGACCCTGGAGGATTCCTTATCTGATGCAGGCGGCGATGATATCCGTGGCCAAGCTCCAATTGGTGTTCCTTCGGCTTCCAGACCTTGAATTCCTTACCCAGGGGTTCTTTATCCAATGCCCTCGCCGTAGTGAGCCAGCGCTCAGCGGAAAAACGTGACCACATCCCCGCATCCCCTGTCACCAAACCAATGCGAAGTGCTCGCGGGGTTCCCGCTCACGATCCAGACTTGCTGCCACGTGCGTTCTGGGCTGTTTTTTTTCCTGGGGGGCATATATTTGTTTCTGGTCGACGGTCGATTGATTAGGGGAGGGCTTCTCCAGGGGCGCATAGATAATCGCGCTAGATCGCTCAGGGGAAACGCAGTTCTCCAAATTCCCAGACATCCGAGGTCCCGACCCCTGCCCCCAGGCCAGGTGTTTGCCCCCGATGAGAGACGCCCGGACTGACATAATCATAAGGCATCGGCGATTTTATTGGGTGTGGTTACGCTGGGGTTTGGTTTGCGTTTTGCTTCGTTTGGGCTTGGGGGGGCACCACGTTGCCCTCGTCGGGCCTCCTCGGGGCGCGGCAGAGCACTCCGTCGAGGTCCTCGCCCGCCCTCCAGGGTGCGGGTTGCGATCCGCACCCTCTGCAAGCCACACCCCTGGGAGTCGCCGATCGCACTGCGCAGGAGGTGCTCCGCGGAGGGCGAGAACTGCATGAACAGCAGGTGCTGCCTCCGCGACAGCCAGAGGTGTTACGAGAGGTGCCCTTAGAGAGAGCCGTCCGCGCCACGCGAGCGCGCCCGTCGGCGGCCGGCGCAGCACCTCTGCGGCCGAGCCTCCTCCCCAGGGGGGGAGGAGGGGGAGGAGCAGGAGCAGGAGCAGGAGGGGCAGGAGCAGGAGGAGGAGGATGAGGAGGAGGAGGGGCAGGAGGAGGAGGAGGGAGGAGGAGGAGGAGGAGGAGGAGGAGAGGAGGAGGAGGAGGAGAGGAGGAGGAGGAGGAGGAGGAAGAGGAGGAGGAGGAGGAGGAGGAGGAGGAGGAGGCGGCGGCGCAGGCGGAGGCGGCGGCGGCGGAGGACGAGGAGGAGGAGGAGGAGAGAGAGGAGGAGGAGGAGGAGGAGGAGGAGGAGGAGGAGGAGGAGGAGGAGGAGGAGGGGAGGAGGAGGAGGAGGAGGAGGAGGAGGAGGAGGAGGAGGAGGAGGAGGAGGAGGAGGAGGAGGAGGAGGAGGAGGAGCAGGAGAGAGGAGGAGAGGAGGAGGAGGGGAGGAGGAGGAGGAGGAGGAGAGAGGAAGGAGGAGGAGGAGGGAGGAGGAGGAGGAGGCGGCCGCAGATCGCCCGATTTTCTCGCCGTGGGCCCGCGGGGGGCTGGCGGCCCTTGCCCGCAGGCCTCCTCTTTTCCTCCCTGATCCCTCCCTCCCTCCCTCCCTCCCTCCATCCTCCGTCCTCCCTCTCTTCTCATTCCCCTCCCCCTCCCCTGTAGGTACTCGCCTTTCTCACTCTGGCTTTTTCCTTTTCAAGAAGGGCCAACAAGGGCCTCCTCGCTCCCTCGCTTCCGTGCCCCTCTCCCTTCCTGCTCCCTCCCTCCCTCCCTCCCCCCCTCCCGCCACTCGGCCAATGAAGAGCCCCAGATTTGTGGAGTGTTGCAAGATCGAAAAGCCGCGATCGGTCAAGGTTCACAGAGTTCCCCGTGGCGGCAGAGGCCAACGCCTGGGCCGTCACAGCACGAACTGGCCGTGCAGCCAAGACGCTGAGATGAGGACTGTTTTGAGCTCAGAGGGGCTCTGTTGCTCGGGCCGCTCCTCAGATCTGGGCCGGGAAAGCTGTTCGTGGCCGAGGCTAGCTGTGACCTGAAGTGCCCCTCCTTTCCTTATTCGGCGTCCCCTTGTGGCAGCAATCGGCAGCCCGATCTCTCTGCGGGTCCCCCCCCACTCCCGCCGTCTGGCCAAGGAAGAGCCCTGGGTGGGCGGAGTGCCGGCAAGGCCCGCGGTACGCCCGCCGCCCACGCGGCTGGAGGAGGAGGAGGAGGAGGAGGAGGAGGAGGAGGAGGAGGAGGAGGAGGAGGGAGGAGGAGGAGGAGGAGGAGGAGGAGGAGCAGGAGGAGCAGGAGGAGGAGGACCAGCAGCAGCAGGAGGAGGGGGGAGGGAGGATGGAGGAGGGAGGAGGGAGGAGTGACGGGAGGAGGGAGTGGGAGGAGGGAGAGGAGGTGGGAGGAGGGAGGAGGAGGGGAGGAGGAGGAGGAGGAGGAGGAGGAGGAAGATGAGAGGAGGAGGAGGAGGGAGGAGGGAAGAGGGAGGAGGGAGGAGGGAAGAGGGAGGGGGAGGAGGAGGAGGAGGAGGAGGAGGAGGAGGAGGAGGAGGAGGAAGAGGAGGAGGAGGTTCAAGGAGGCCCCGGGAGGCTTCCGGATTGCCCCAATGTGGCCTCAAGTCGGGCCTCCACGCAGTCAAGACGGCCAATTGACTGCTTCAGACTGCAGAATATCACTTTCCGACTGCCCGGAGAACCCTGACGATGTCCCCAAGGAACCCCAAGAAGCCCCAAGATGCCCCCCCGAGAAGCACCCAAGAGGTGTCTCCAACAGCCAATTGAGGAAGCACGGAGAACCCCCCAGAAGCCCTTCAGATGCCCCCACGAAGACCCAAGAGGTTCCCAAGAGGCCCTCAGGAGGCACGACTATGTCACGCGCCTGTGCTTGATAGCGCTGTCCAAGATCTTCTAGCGCCCCCAGCCTGGGCTAGAACCTGAGCGCGCGCGAAGCGCGCGATGGTTATAGTATGTATGTATGTATTTATGCATGCATCTATCTATCTACGTATCTACCTATCTATGTATGTATGCATGTCTGTATGCATGTATGTATGTTTGTATGTATGTTTGTATATATGTATGTATGTATGTATGTATGTATGCCTGTCTATATGTACGTATGAATGTATATACGTACGTATGCATGCATGCATGCATGTATGTATGTATGTATGCATGTATGCATGCATACATGTATGTATGCACATATGTATGTATGTATGCATGCATGTATGCATTAATGCATGCGTGCATGTATGCATGTATGCATGTATGCATGTGTGTATGTATGTATGTATGTATGTATGTATGCATGCACGTATGTATGTATGTATGTATGTATGTATGTATGTATGTATGTATGTATGTATGTGTGTGTGTATGTATGTATGCATGTATGTATGTATGTATGTATGTGTATATGTATGTATGCATGTACGCATGTATGTATGTCTGTATTCATGCATGCACGCATGTATGTATGTATGCATGCATGTATAAATGTATGTGCGTGTATGCATGCATGTATGTATGTATGTATGCATGCATGCATGCATGCATGCATGTATGTATGTATGTATGTATGTATGTATGTATGTATGAATGATGCATGTATGTATGTATGTATGTATGTATGTATGTATGTATGTATGTATGTATGTATGTATGTATGTATGTATGCATGCATGCATGCATGCATGCATGCATGCATGCATGCATGCATGCATGCATGCATGCATGCAATGTAAGTTATGTTTATGTATGCGTGTATGTACGCATGCCTGTATGTATGCATGCATGTATGCATGCATGCATGTATGTACATATGTATGCATTCATGCAGGTATGTACGTATGTATGTATGACTGTATATATGTATGCATGTAGGTTTGTATTTGTGTATGCATCTGTCTGTATGTATGTGTGTGCACATATATACATGCACATACATATATATATATATATATGTCTATTGTTGATACCTGACAAGGCCGATGGAGGCAACACTCAAACCATCTCATACGGTTAAGTGGTAGAACAAGGATCAGAACACCATATCGTTCACCAAATCTTTACCTAACAGCGAAGACTGATATGTTTCTAGTGGTCTCAACAAAGAGCATCATGACTCCCCAGGGGGTCTGGGCAGATGCCGGACGGGTGCCCCGGATTCCCCTGGGGATCCGCGCCTGATATGGGCAAACTCAGTCGGGGGTGCCGTGGGTGCCCGCCTGATATGGGGGAACTCAGTCGGGGGTGCCGCGGGTCCACGCCTGATATGGGGGAACTCAGCTGACGGGTGCCGCGGGTTCTTGCCTGATATGGGGGAACTCAGTCGGGGGGGCCGCGGGTGCACGTCTGATATGGGGGAAGTCAGTCGGGGGTGCCGCGGGTCCACGCCTGATATGGGGGAACTCAAGTGAGGCTGAGGCTGAGGCTGCGGCTGAGGCTGAGGCAGGCTGAGGCAGACGCTGAGGCAGGCTGATGCATCCGAAAGCCCATGAGCAGTGAGGAGGAGAGATGCCTCCTGTCGAGCGCCACGGTGTGCTCAGAGGGAGGAAGAGGAGGAGGAGGAGGAGGAGGAGGAGGAGGAGGAGGAGGAGGAGGAGGAGAGGAGGAGGAGGAGGAGGAGGAGGAGGACGAGGAGTGGATCGAGGAGTGGTTCGAGGAAGGATACGCAAGGTTTTTCTCAGCGGTTCCGGCCTCTGGAGGACCAGTTGCGGGGATCCAGGACGTTTCAAGGTTCGCCTTTATGGCGTCTGGATTCTGGAGGCCCAGTTGCGGGGATCCAGGACGTTCTTACCTAACAGCGAAGATTAATAGGTTAGGATGGGCTCGTAGTGTCCTGGATAATTTCGTTCCGGATTTCGAGGGGAATTTCGTGCGGGTTGTTTGGTCAGGAATGAAGACTAAACCAAATCCGCGTGATATTCATTTCGTTTTGCGCTTGCCGTCTTGGGACTTTGCATTGACAGGGCTCCACGCAGAAATCTGCTGCAGCACGTCTGCAAGGTCAGTGCAGTGAAACGTGTCCTTCGACAGGGCTGCGGCAAGCACGTGGTCTCAAAAGAGAGCATCATGACTCCCCAGGGGGGTCTGGGCAGATGCCGGACGGGTGCCGCGGGAATCCGGGGACTCCTTTTTTAGCCAACAGTAACGCACTTCGTGGTCTTCGAGTTCCCAGAACGCCATTCCTGGACATGATTTTGAATGCCCGGAGCCAACTGTAGGCCACTTCGTGGTCTTCGAGTTCCCAGAACTCCATTCCTGGGCATGATTTTGAATGCCCGGAGCCAACTGTAGGCCACTTCGTGGTCTTCGAGTTCCCAGAACTCCATTCCTGGGCATGATTTTGAATGCCCGGAGCCAACTGTAGGCCACTTCGTGTTCTTCGAGTTCCCAGAACTCCATTCCTGGGCCACATTTTGAATGCTGAGGCAGGCTGATGCTGAGGCTGAGGCAGGCTGAGGCTGAGGCAGGCTGAGGCTGAGGCCGAGGCTGAAGGCAGACTGAGGCTGAGGCTGAAGCAGGCTGAGGCTGAGGCTGAGGCAGGCTGAGGCTGAAGCTGAGGCAGGCTGATGCTGAGGCAGGCTGAGGCTGAGGCTGAGGCTGAGGCAGGCTGAGGCTGAGGCAGGCTGAGGCTGAGGCCGAGGCTGAAGGCAGGCTGAGGCTGAGGCTGAAACAGGCTGAGGCTGAGGCTGAGGCTGAGGCAGGCTGAGGCTGAGGCTGAGGCAGGCTGAGGCTGAGGCAGGCTGAGGCTAAGGCTGAGGCTGAGACAGGCTCAGGCTGAGGCTTCAGGCTGAGGCTGAGGCCGAGGCTGATGGCAGACTGAGGCTGAGGCTGAAGCAGGCTGAGGCTGAGGCTGAGGCTGAGGCAGGCTGAGGCTGAGGCTGAGGCAGGCTGATGCTGAGGCAGGCTGAGGCTGAGGCTGAGGCTAATGCAGGCTGAGGCTGAGGCAGGCTGAGGCTGAGGCCGAGGCTGAAGGCAGAATGAGGCTGAGGCTGAATCAGGCTGAGGCTGAGGCTGAGGCAGGCTGAGGCTGAGGCTGAGGCAGGCTGAGGCTGAGTCAGGCTGAGGCTGAGGCTGAGGCTGAGGCAGGCTCAGGCTGAGGCAGGCTGAGGCTGAGGCTGAGGCAGGCTGAGGCTGAGGCTGTGTCTGCGACTGCCGTTGCCACTGCGACTGTCATCGCGAATGCGACTACGACTGCGAGAACAGCAGAATTCTGCAACTGGATTCTCATCTGAATCTTAAGGGGAATGCTTCCAGATATGCTCCTACACATCGCTGCTAGGTTGCTTTGCCGGGATAATTATTCCGCCCTTACATGAGGGGGTGACCTCAGGGGGGACCTCCCTCCACCTGGGTAGAACAGGGGGGTGGGCCCGGGGGTGAGAACTCCCCTCCCCCCCTGTCAGCGTTTTTTCGGTTTGTTCCCTTCCGTTCTCCACGGGGCGGGCTGGGCCGGAAGGGGGCCAGGCCGCCACTGCAGGGGCCTGTCGGTGGGCTCGCGACTGGACCCCCCCCGCGAGGCTGCGAGTCGGGCATGGGGCACTTCGGCGGCTGGTCGTGCACCGAGTTGTCCCAACAACCCGAGACGGACGAGGCAGCGCGGTGAGGAGGACGAAGAGGCCAGGGGGGAAGGATCACGGAGGAGGAGCATCATTCAGGTGAAGGAGGAGGAGGATGAGCAGGAGGAGGAGGATGAGCAGGAGGAGGAGGAGGAGGAGGAGAAGGAGGAGGAGGAGGAAAAGGAGGAAAAGGAGGAAGAGGAGGGAGGATCATTGAGAGGTGGACCATGGTGAATCCCAAACGCCTCAGCAGTGCTGCAGTGCACCCTCTCGTCGCAAGGTTCTTTTTCGTAAGTCGCCGCAAGTGTGCCCTTCCACTGTGGGAGGCCCCGTGGACATCTCCAAGCTGGCCCTTCCCCCGAGAGTGACGAGATTGGCCCGTCCGCATCTGCTTACGGTCCCGTTTCCCCCCCCCTGCGGGGACAAGGGGGCTGGCGGCGGGAGCTGCTGTGGTGTCTCGGCCTTGGCCGAGGCACTACAGTGCGGGGACGGCGTTTCGCCACCTTTGCCCCCCTCCCCCTGGTGCACACCTGGGAGCTGCGCCAAAAGGTCAACGACAATCCTCGACAATCCTCCTCATCCTCGTCGTCCTCGTGGTCGTCTTCCTTCTTGTTCTCCTCCTCCCCCTCTTCCTCCTCCCTCCTCCTCCTCCTCCTCTTCCTCCTCCTCATCCTCCTCCTGCTCCTGCTCCTCCTCCTCCTGCTCCTCCTCCCTCTCCTCCGTCCCATCGCCCGTCTCCTACCCAGATCTCCGACGACATGATGTGTTTAATCTTGCCGTTTCTCCTCGATTTCTAGGGCCTGGGTCGGCCCCAGGACCATCAAGACGACGGGGCCGCGCTTTGAATACATCACATTGTAGCCATTTTGGCTTAAGCCGCCGCATCCGTGCCGCCCTCCCCCCCCCGCGATTTCGCGCGCGCGTAGATGGGTGCAGTCCAGCCGTGGACTATTGCTGCCGGGAACGATGAGCTGACCGAGGTATAGATGACGTATCAGACGAGGAAGTTTTCTTACAGTCGTTTATAAATGAACTGCGGTCTTCATTCGCCTCTGAGGTGGACGGCCTCAGTCTGGACCCGTACTTCGTTGAGATCGTGACAGTGGCGTGACCTACAGGTCTGATTGAGCACACACTTTTCTTTTCCGAGTGCTACCTGCTCTGGAAGATTGTCGGGTGGCGGCGAGGGCGTGTTTCAGATAGGGAAGCCTTTGAATTCAATGTACGATTTCACAATGTTTCCTAATGTTTTTTGGAACACCCGAAAGAGACCTGAAGCGAGCATCAAACATGTCATCAAGGTCTAGAATAAACGATACGGCAATTGCATTTACGATTTGCAGGAGATCTTTCAATGGGGTGCCGGTTGCACGAACGCTTTTTGTTTGTCGAACTTTTACTGGATGTGATGGTGCATTATATTCCCCAATATTCTTCCCGCATCTGTGTTACGGGATGATCACCGTGCTTCTTTTCGGTCGTCGTCGTTGGGAGTACTATCGTCGAATCCGCACGAGTTACCGGCTACACTGGTGGAGTGGCTGTTGGTGCCGGCATTCCATCCAGTTTGATGGTGGCGCTGGCCAGCGCACGGATCATGGTTCTCAGTCAAGGGTGGGCTCCAAGAACTTCCCTGGCTGCTGACGCGAACGTATCATGGCGCCAACATCGCATAGCGGATTTCGGATGAAAAACGATAGGATGGGCTCGCAGTGTCCTGGATAATTTCGTTCCGGATTTCGAGGTGAATTTCGTGCGGGTTGTTTGGTCAGGAATGAAGACTAAACCAAATCCGCGTGATATTCATTTCGTTTTGCGCTTGCCGTCTTGGGGTTTTGCATTGACAGGACTCCACGCAGAAATCTGCTGCAGCACGTCTGCGAGGTCGGTGCAGTGAAACGTGTCCTTCGACAGGGCTGCGGCAAGCACGGGCGGTCCCACTGGTGGGCTCGGCCGCTGGTCAGCCACGCGCGTCAACTGCAGAACGCCTTCCTGAGCTTCCTGGGGGGTGAGGGGCTGAAGTTCGGCAGCGCGTTTGTGCCGGGCTCGGGAGAAGATCATCACCAGACCAGGCCGTGAAAACTTCAACGGGCAAGTCGCAGATCGATTAGTTACGTGGTTCTCGGTGCGGGCAAGCGGGCAAGGGCTACCAGGTCAGTGCCGGTAACGGCGTCGACAACAACGGGCGCGCAGAGTTGAAGGAATCGGACCACATGCCCGTTCGGGCTTTCATCGAACTGCGGTCGACAGGGACCCAACTAATACTATTTCAATGATTTCCGATGTTTAGGCCTGATGGATCTGTACAATTTGCATGGCGCTTGGAGCTACGATTGAATGGGCTGGGCGGTTCCAAGCTCTGCCCGTGCCAACGCATTCGGGCACAAGGAAGGTTGCAGCGTAGAGGACCGGTTCGGTGTTTTGTTCGAGGCTGATTGCTGCGCAGAGCGCTGGGCGTGGAGACTGAGGCGGCGTTCGATGGCGTCCGTCATTATGACGTGCTGGAGGTCTACGAGGCTACAGGCCCATTGCCGCGTCGATTGCTGTAAATTGCACGGTCTGTGGCCCGCAACCGCGTGAATTTTGACCTGGCCGACGTCGCTGATTCCGGCCCCCTGGGCATTGCGAAGGCGTTTAAGCGGGGCGCAACACTGAGCCGGACAACATCGCGCGTATGTTTGAAGCTCTGATAGAGAAATGCGTGATCGAAGGGGATGCGGCGGCGCTTCGTTTTCGTTCGCGCGGTTCGCAGAGGCGGGTGGCAGATGCTAGTTGGGTCGTCAACGACTTCATTCCTGCGCGTAGCCTGGCTGGAACTATGATGTTCCAACTTATTTTAGCTCTGATCAATCGAAAGCACTTCGAGCACCAAGAAGGTACCTGGGAGGCGACACTCGTTCGACATTGTTTCGACACTTTTTTGGGTGTTCAAAATAATTTCTGGGGTGTGGTCCTGAAGTGCGATGGGGGCAACATAAGGCTGGAAACGTATTCGCGACGCCCATGCCAGCGGCCCTCATGCGCGATGACTGTGGTTGAGCGTGGAAGCCCGACTTCCCATAGGCACTTGCTGCCAATGGGTCTGTTTCCATATGATACATTGATTGTGTACTGCGACGACTCCGAGCTTACATTTCGACGCAAACGCGTCGTGCACGTGCTGGGGGGCGTCTTGAGCGACGGTGGGCCCGGCTGGCATCTCATCGACGATCGTCTCGGACTAGGGGAGGGGCCTTCTGCGAGCATGTGCAACGTTTCCGAAGCAAAGACCCGATATCCTTGACATTTGCTGTTTTCGCTGACGTTGTTTGCGCTGTGGCTAGACTTTTCCTCCCGGTTGTTCGCTGGACACTTGGTTTGCTTCTGCGGGCAGTCCGCTGGGAACGGGAACTGCGCCGAATGGCGTTCTGGTTCCGCCTGCGACCAGCGCGAGGGCGCATGGAGTTTTTCCGAAGCGCGGCTCGGAAAATGGAAAGGTTGATGGCGTTTCTGAAATACAAGCCAATTCGCTATATCATATTGCAACGACTTCGCACTACGCGCAGAACTGTGGCGCGAACAAGAGCGATGGCAGCTCGCCTCGACCATCCGGGAGGACCGCGGCGTGCTCAGTTGGGAAGCAATGAGGGATGTGCCGTCCAGAGAACGATTGCACGAATGGTGGCTGCGTGCATGCTCGGACGGGCCCGTGTACGTCGCGCGGAGGACCGCTTCGGGCTGCGCGGGGTGACTCTTGGAGAGGGGCGCTGCAGGCGTGTGCAGATGTCACGCGCTAAGGGGAACGCCAGGGCAGCTCTGTGCAGAAGGTGTGCGAAGTTTGGAACTTGCAGCGCGTAGCCGCTGCGCGTCGCGGCGATGTGCCGGGCCAGCCGCCGCCCGCATTTACAGAGATATGCGTTGCTGGACATCCACTTGCTGCCGCGCCCGCCCTGGCTGCTAAGAGACGAGCTCTGGCTGCAGGGACAGACGGTGCCGCGGCTCGAGTTCGCGGTGGATTTCTTCGCCGTCGCCACAGCGGTGAAACGTGGGTGCGTCTCGCGACGATCCATCGTGCGAGGCTGCGCTTGGTCGCTTGCTTGCCCGTTTGGCGGGGTTCCACGGCGCTGCTCTCCCGCGCGGAGCTGGCCCGTGGCAAGTCGTTAGTGGAGGCCCGGGAATCAATTTTTCCGGCCTGGCCGGATACGCAATGCTCGTTTCATGTGCAGGCGGGGTTTTGCCGCGCGTCTACCGCTGACGTTCGCGAGTGTCTGCGAGCGGGCTTCTCGGTCCAAGTGTGCTCTGAGCCCATGGGCGCCGTCGGCGCAGCTGCTTCCGCCTCGTTCCTGGCGAGCCCGAACGGGGGCAGCTGTTTGAAGTTGGCTTTGGTGGGCGCAGCGTCCGAAATGGGGTCCGCGCTGCCTGTGGATGCGATCGCTGCAGACGTGGCCGCGTTGGAAGTGCGGGGGGCGGTCCGCCGTGGGCGCGGCTATTCCCGCGAGAGAGCGGGGGCCATGGCGAACGGAACGCAGGTCGACATTTTTTTTTCGCCGCTCGGTCAGGGGCTCGCGAAACGACCTCATGTTTGTGAGTGGCAACCCTTTCCCATTCCCCCCATCCTTCCCTCGCCGCCTCCTCCTCCTCCTCCTCCTCCTCCTCCTCTTCCTCCTCCTCCTCCTCCTCCTTCTCCTCCTCCTCCTCCTGTTCGAACGGTGGATCTGCCTTCTCCCTGCTTGTGTTCCCGCTGCATTTGGGGCTCGCAGGGGCTCCTTCCGCGCCCGTGTTATGAGCTTTTAACCGCGTGGCACCTCGTCTCTGCGCGCTGAAAAAGTACAGCGTTCCATCCTGATCCTTTGCTCTAGTTGGCAGCAGAGCGTCGGCTCCCTTCCGCGCGCTGCCGCGGCCAGCGCGGCGCCCCCTCGCTGCCTTGCTTCGAAGGCAACGGCGTCGACGCCGTCAAGGGCAACCTCTTCGAGGACCCCGTGTTCGCCGTGCTCGACGGTTCGTCGATTTCGCGCTCTTCCGCGCGTTCGCGGCAGCAGGCGACTGCTCTCCGGGG